TCTCGAGCACAGTAAAAAAGTGCGACCTACACTCTTAGCTTTCGCACTCTCTTTTTTCTCCATCCCCAATGTTCTGACTTAAGCTTCGGAGTATTCCCACCGGGTAAATCCCCGGGAATCCTTTTTTCCATCTTCTCAGGTGTCGTCCGTTGCCAAGAAAGAGCCAGTCAGCAGCTAGTTAGGAGTGCCCGGATCGTGCCGCATCATTTGGTGTCGTTTGTGGGAATCGCTTCTAAAAGCCTTCCTCCAAGCTTTTATAGCACTTCTCTTCCAAAAAACTTAGCATTCTTCGTGGCTTCTTCCAGCAATGCCGGACGTGACAACAGTCAGAACGCTAATGGGGAGCAACCCCAGCTTCCTACTATCTGCATTGGACAGTTTACCGTCCCCCTCACCGTGGACAGAGTCCCCAGTCTGAATGTGCCTCTTACAGTGGCACCCGCCATTGCTCCGCTCCCTTCTACTGTAGGAGCAACCTTTACTGAACCCTCGGTTGTGCCCCCAGCGGCCAACCCGAACCAACTGGAGGACTTAGTGCAATGCATGCGGGCTATGCAGGCTCAAATGCAACAGTTTCAACTCTACCAACAGCAAGTGCTGCACCAGGTTTCCCAGTACTAGTACCAGCAACACTTTCCCTCTCTGCCTCAGGCCCAGATGTCGCTTCCACCTTGGCACCCGCCCACGAAGCAGGCCAAACCAACCCACTGGAGTGAGTGGCCTTGTCGGGAAGAAGCCTCCCAAGTCCAAGAGCCGCGCCTCTTCCCGTGGCAAGAAAGAGAAGTCGGCTGCCATCTCGGCACCCGCCTCGCAGCTTGCGAGCGGGTCAAGGGCCTCTCGCCCTACAAGGCCCGTATCACCACAACCTTCGTAGTTCGAGCTCCCGTTGGCGGATAACCCGTTCGAGGTCCTAGTAGCAGGCTACAGACGGGGCCCTTCGGTCCAAAGCCATCACCAGCAGTTCGAGCCTATCGAGCTCGGCAACACCGAGGCATCGAGCACCAACGCCGAACCAGCAAAGCAGCAGCGAAGGCACCGGCGAGCTCGCTGAACCGCTTCCAGAGCCTCTCCCGAGCTCAAAGGAAAGGAGGAGGTGTGCTCGGCTGAAGTGAAAGCTCCCCCCCTCCTCTCGGTTTCTTCCCCGTTATCTTTAGAACTCCTTGTTGTTCCCATGCCAAAGGATTTCAATCTCCCTCCTCTAGACATGTATGATGGGTCTTTCGATCCAAATGACCATGTTGACACCTTTCAGTCCCAAATGACACAGGTTAGCGAGTCCTGCATATGCGTGTCCTTTTCCACTACTTTGAAAGGAGTGGCCTACACCTAGTACCGGAACCTCGCGCCAAGATCGATAAGAAGCTGGGCGCAGTTCGTGCAGGTCTTTGTCTCCCAGCAAGAGATGCCTATGAATTCAGGAAAGCCTCATCGGCATAGTGCAAAAGGAAGGGGATACCCGACCTAGATCCCACGGTACGCCTGTTGTCGTTGTGGACTTTGTGAATAGATTCTTGTTCCAAAGTGTGAGTGAGGGAATGACCATTCCCTTAAACGAGAAATGCCATTTAGAATGAAAAATGGGAATTCAAATCCATTCAACCAAATAGTTAGAATTAGAATAGTCTAATTCAGTCCCCTAAATCAAACGGACCATTAATGTTTTTTTCATAAGCGATATTGGCTGTTGAAAATTTTAGATTATAATATTAATCTTACCCCAAAACCAAGTTTTATTGCGTCTCGTTCCCAACTTGGATCCTTTTGAGAGGGCTTCTGCATTGGAGGTGAGTTACATTGATTGAGTTGTATCGTTGAGCACCTTACCTATGTTTCGGACAATCTCTAAAGTAGCTTTAATTCACAGTAGTATTTCTTTTGTTCGGAACACTAATATTCGCTTTCCAGATTTTCACTAAATACAATTTTCATGAAGTCCGTGTGAAGCCAACATCGAAATGCAAGAAGCGGCATTCAAGAAACCCTTCCAAACGGGCACTATATTGGATCGGTTAAGTGAACTCTTTTCACCATGGTTTTAAAAAATGATCCGGAAATATAATAATTTTTGTCACCGGTTTTTAGGTCGATAGTTCGATCATCCGATTTGAATGGATGGTCCGTTCTAACAATAAAAATAAAAAAACGGCCAAAACTGTTGAATGGATCGATAGGTTGATTGCCTAGTCAACAGGTCATTGATTGATTCAATAGTTTTTGGCTAATAACCAGGTTTGGGGTAAAGTGGAACCGATTGCTTGAACAGAATGTGACTCTTTTTTGACATCTCTCCTTTGGTTGAGATTAGGGGTGAGCATTCGGTTAAAAATCGAATTGAATAAATTGATTTTTTTTTAAAACCAAAATTGAAACCGATTTTCAATAAAACTGAAATAACCGAACCAAAATTTTTGGTTATTTCGGTTAAAAACCGAATTTAGTTATTATTATATATTATAACCTATAATATATTATAAAATTTAATTTCATTGTAATAGATTATATATAATATATTAATATATAAATATATAGCATATTATATATATTAAATATTAAGTATTGTATATTATATATTATATAATGAATTTTAGCTAATTTGGTTTTTTCGATTAATCAAATTTCTAAATCTGAAAACCAAAACCGAATTAACCGAACTGAATTTCTCAAAAACCAAAAAAGAAAAAAGAAACCAAAATTTTCGATCGATAATTCGATTTTAGCTGAATAATGCTCACCCCTAATTGAGATGATGGTGTAGGACTATTATTCGAGCCTTTGTATATTTTCTTTAATTCAGAGGGTGGAGTAGGACTGTTACTTGAGTGCTGGTGCTGGTATTATCCAGTATCCTACTATTTTGCATATTGGATTCAATAGGGGATTGGAATGAACATGGGACACCTGCTATAAGGTTTGGTTGTTTCTCTAGATTTTTAATGCTGTTTGGTCTTGGTACTCGCTTAAGAATTTATATGCTTGTAGGGATTCATAGTTTTCTTGACGAACCAATGCAATGCATTTAGTTGTCTCGTTTGTTGGCAGTGTGGTTGAGGCCTGATGGTGAATTTTCCGAATCCAAAATGGACGTTATGGGATTCACTATACAAATTACAAGCTATACCTTATGTTTGGGTGTGAAAGCTTTGTAATGGGATGATTTGATGATTGATTGGGGTGTTTTGTTGTGGAAGTTTGATAGCAAACTCAGAGGGGTTTTTATTTGTATGTTTCACTTTCATACGCTGTCTCATGGAGAAACCCTTGGCCTCCCCTAAAGCTACACCATATCTGTTAATTGTTTTCCATTCTTGTGGGAGATTTTTTCATTTCAACTTTCTATTGGAGGCATGTATCCTCATTTTATTTGACGTTCTCTAGAGGATTCATGAATTTTCTCTCCCGATCATCGATTGCTTCTTTTTTTTTTTACTGTTTATTTGTTTATTAGTCACTTTGCACGGATGACTTATTTGTGTATGTTACTTCATGGTTGTATTACGAGCATTTGTTTGGATGAATTTTGCCTTATTCAGGCTTACAAGAAAGAGCCATTAATCAATATTGATCTCGATTATCAAGGTCTTAGGGAAGGGTGGATTGAATACGTGATCGCATCGCCCTCAAATTCAAACCCATATGTTGATGCCTGTTGGGCTGAAAAAAATATTTCTATTTATTATTGTTCATAAATCATTTTTCGTGTTTTTATCATTTTTTAACAGTTTATTCAAATTCAACAGAAATTAATCGGATCGGATAAGATTCGGTTATGACCCCGAATCTAAACCCGATTTCATCCGTTTGCATCCCTCTCCACTGTTTTCCATAGCCTCCGTTCATCATTGTGGTCTGAACACGTGGAGCAGAGTCCTCCGGTAACACACTTTCCACGTGGCAAAATTATAAGTGGTTGACTTGAATAAGGGTTTATAATCTGATCTTTATTTTTTTTCTTATTTTTCATTGTTTATGGATTAGAAAAATAATAAATAACAAGGAATTAAGGAAAAAGGAAGCCAAGTCTAGAGGTGTAAAGTGGGGCTGTGTCGGGCTGGCACGGCACAACCTGTGGGCGTGTGTGGGCCGTGCCGCCCTCCCCAGTGAAAAATTTGGGGGTTGGCCTGGCATGGCTCACGACCCAGGCTAGTGCAGGCTCGTGCCATGCTGTGGACTGGGCTAGCCCGCGGGCTGAGCCTTGGGTTAGATCGGGCTGTGCATCAGGCCAAAGCTATTTATTTTAAAAAAATGATAAAAAACTTAAAATTTGAATTTTATATGAATTTTGTGTATAAAATTGATTTATATACAATAATTAAATAAATTAGTATAATAAAATAAAAGAATATTTATTTTCTTAATTTATTATATACTATATATTATTATATAATTATAATTTATATAATATTATATAAATATATAAATAATATATATGGGCTGTGCCAAGCCACACTGGGCCGGGCTACGGGCTGGGCCGTGCCGGCCCATGGACCTAAAACCCCAGGCCCAGCACGGCCTGCATGGTCGTGCCGGGCCTGACACGGCCCATAGACTATCGTGCCGGGCCGCGGGCGGCTCGACTCGATATACACCCCTAGCCAAGTCCCGCGGGCCGCGGCTTTGGCCTTCGGGAATACCTTCCATGACCGATACGGCAATACAAATAAGACCGGATATTCCATCTTCCACCTGTTAAATTGACAAACCGCCAGAAGGCGCGAAACGGCAAAAGTGAAATTTTGCCGCCAGATCGGATTCAGTCCTCGTAAGACGGTGCTTGTACAGTATTCACAGCCAATTTCAACCGTTTATAGGGAATATCTCCGTACTTATATGTTGTTATTAATGAAAGATATTCTCAATTCACGGCTGCAAGTGGCTGTGAGCACGGTGTATGCACGGCCTTGTGAGGATTGGATCCGAGTTCAAAAAGAGGCCCCATCCATTTCACAGTTGCTTCGCGCCTCAACAACCTTCCAAAAAAATTTTGATTAACCCCCTCCGTTCTTATTGAAATTTCGTCGTTTTCAATCCAATTTTCCATCTCCCGCCAATCCAGAGACATGAAAACTCACTGAAAATTCCAAGCCGAACTAATCGGAAGTCCGAAAGTAACTGAAATCTGTTCCTCTCTCTCTCTCAACTATGGCGGTGTCCCAGACCTCTGCTTCCAAACCCATCGTCTCTACCAAGAGTGAGGCCAAGAAGAAGAAGAAAAAGGCACAGTCAGGTGATGATCAGCAGCCGCAAGAACAGTCGTCGGTTCCTCAGCCTCCTTGTTCTTCACCATCAAAGCGCGCGAAATCCCCAGGGCTTCGTGTGGTTGGAGGTCGAATCTATGATTCTGAGAATGGAAAGACTTGTCACCAGGTCAGATTAAATTAAACCCGGAATACTCATTAAGGAAAATAATTTGTTTCTTTTATGAGTTTTTGAGAAGTAAAAGAAAAAGAATATTGCAGTGTCGGCAAAAGACTATGGACTTCGTTGCTTCCTGCAAAAATCAGAGAGACGATAAGCCCTGTACCATTAAGTTCTGTCACAAATGCCTCTTGAACAGGTAAAATTATCAGCAAATTTATAACTTATTGTTCTATTTTTCTATATTTTTATATATATTTCTCACTTAGTTTGTCGGTCTTGGTTTAGATATGGAGAGAAGGCAGAAGAGGTGGCTTTACTTGGTGATTGGAAATGCCCGAAATGTAGAGGAATCTGCAACTGCAGTTTCTGCATGTAATTGTTTGTTATCGTCGAAAGTTGAGTTTCTCAAATTGGATTTTCTTGTTTATCATGTCAACATTCATTGATGAATCCACACATATGCTTTTGCAGGAAAAAACGAGGCCACCAACCCACTGGCATCCTCGTGCACACTGCCAAAGCCACTGGTTTCTCTTCAGTTTCGGAAATGCTGCATGTCAAAGGCCCAGAAAACGTGGGCGCTGAGAAGATACTTAAAAATGTAGTTTCTTCTCCGAAAAAGCAAGATGCTTCAAACAAGGTATGGATGATAGTAATTCCATCTCACACGTTGGCTGATTCCAAATTCACTCATAGAGTGTATTGTTTGTAAACATGGTTTTCTTCCTGTTTTTCATGCTTTCTTTGCTCGTTTTTTAAATAAAATTGCACTCGCTTTTGATAGGTGACTGTCACAGCTTCACCAAAAAAAGTGGGGAAGGAAAATTTGTTTGCTGGAAAAGTTGATTTGAACTCGCAACCTAAACCCTTAACATCAGATGGTGACGATAAGAAGAATGGGAAGAGCAAGAGGAAAAAAATATTGCAGAATGATGCTACCGACAGTGTGGGTGAGGTCATTAGGGATGATGGTGCCCCTGCAGAGAAGAAGAGCACTAAGAAGTCTCGGATTTCAAAGGAAGTCTCTGTAACTCCCACCAAGAAAGAGGTAAAGACAGCAAATCAGAGTGGTAAGAGCCAACCTCCTGAGAAAAAGAAATCTCAGGTGCAGGGTTCTGAGGTGGTTCCTTCAGACCCCATTGCAAAAAACGAGAAAACGGATAAAAGAGATGGCAAATTGGCAGCCCGCAATAAGAAAGAAGTGCCGGATAGTGGAAATGCTGATAATATCAGTGCCAAGCAGAAGCCGCTGTCAGCATCTCGCAAACTTAAGAAAAATTGTACAAGTATCCACAAAGATGATTCTGATGCTGATGTCCCATTGCCTAATGGCATTGATGTGGCAACAGTAGCTGGAATTGATTTTTCTCCTGAGGATGTTGGGCATGCCTTGCAATTCCTGGAGTTCTGTGAAGCTTTTGGACAGGTAAACACAAAATTTGGTTTGCTAACTACTTGAATTAATGCAATTGGGAAAAAACAAAGATGTTGAAGGTTTTACATGCTTGAATTGTTGAGTGCTTAAATATGCTTTAAATGCTATGCTTGATTTTGTTTCTATAACTTAATTTTGAACATGTTTATTATATTATGTTATGTATTTTATTTTGAGCCAATAGGCCTTTTAAAACATTTAGTTTTCCTTTTAAATTTAAATTTTCATTTTAATTAATATTACTTTTTTGGTGCTTTGCTTAAAAAAGGTTGTGTCTCACCTTGTATCTTGCACAATGGGCACCAAAAGTTCCTTGTGCTTTTCTCGTGTTGTACTTCTAATTTCTAAAACACTGCATGCGATACTATTGAAATGAATAGAAAATGTTTTTCATTCTAAGCAGAGAACTTGGCAAATATTTCCCTTCTTGCTTTGTGTAGATCATATTACATCTTGAATGATAGTTGTGTTATAAACTACATCTTCATTGATGTAAATTTGTTCTTAATTGCAAACCATTGATTCTGTGAAGGTAATATCTGAAAGGGTTTCATGATGCAGGGGTTAAGCCGTGGTTGGTAGGTGGGAATTTCAATGTGGTAAGGAGGATATGGGAGATGAAAGGGGGAGGGATAGGAGAATGTCAGGGGCGATGAGGAAGTTTGGGGACTTTACAAGGATAAATGAGTTGGAAGAACTGGGGCTTATTGGCTCTAAATTTGCGTGGTCAAATGGGCAGGATTCTCCTTTCTTACTGAGGCTGGATAGGTTTCTCTGCAATGGGGCCGGGAGATGGTGCACGTTGAATTTCAGCTGATGATATACGTTTTGAATTTTATTCTTTTGAGTTTTTTTTTTTTTTTATGTAATTTTGTCAATAGTTGGTGATAACTTGTCACCACATCTTCTTGTACTTTTTATTATTATTAATGAATTTTCATCTTCAAAAAAGTTAATGACTATAACCTTCTAGTTCGACACTTGAGTCACTTCAATTGTGTTCACGTATTGGTTTTGAAGGAAGAGGAGCTTGAATTTTGACATTAAAATTTGTACATGAGGAGTGATTTTTGAAACTTGAACAAGCAAGTATGACATGCTAGTTCATTCTAAAGTTTATGGTGGAGTTGCAAAGGCATTCCTTTGAATTTTGAATATGTTGCCACTAATTATGTTTAATTCAGAACCAGTTGTTTAGCTAAAACTTTGGAGTTATCTTTCTTGGTTTAACAAGTAGGTTTTGTCAACTAGAATCATGTAGTAAAGCAACACAGACTGGGTGTTTTGCTATTATCTATTTCATTATGGTTTTTCAATTGAGGTGTTTTTTTTTTGTTTTAGGTTCTTGATATGAAGAAAGGGCAGGCCGAGTCAGTTCTCAGAGAATTAATGCGTGGGAGGAGTGGGCGTCGAGGAATGTATTCTTCAATTGTTCGATTCCATATCCAACTGTTATCTTTGATACTGAAAGATGCAGGAGAAGAGTATGCATTTTCTTCTAAGTGATTTTGCATGAGGGACAATTTCTTCTAGTTATTTTTCTGGAGTTACCTGTTGACTGCCTGCATTGTTTTGTTGTTAGGTCCCTTTTAAGTCCAACAAGCAGTGGGAATTCCTGGTTGAAAGCTCTTGGGAAATGCATCTCTGAGTCCCAGTGCACAGTGCAGGAAATTCCTTCAGATTGCTTTGATAGGGGTAGTGATGGGTATGACAAGCTAGATGCCTCAAAAAAGTTGAGGGTTTTGACTTTTCTATGTGATGAGACTCTTGGTACTGCGTAAGTGATAGCATTCTAGACTGTACAGTTCCATTTCTCCTTCTCTCTTTAGAGTTTGATATATGATTTTTTTTGTTGTATTTCAGAGAAATAAGGAATTGGATTGATGAACAGAATTCAAAATTTGTAGAAAAAGAGAAGGAAGCAAGAGAGAAGGTTATTGCTGCAAAAAATAAGGTAAATAATAATTGTGGTTAAATTTTTACCTTTAAGGCCTTGTTCGTTTTGCAGATTTTGGAAGGGGGAAAGTTGGTCAATGGGATTTTGATTCCTATTGACCAACTCTCCCATGCTCTTTTTCAAGATTTAGGTGAGATCCACAGTAAATCCCTTTCCCTTGGGTATCACTTACCTGGGAAAGTGTTACCCTTCTCCCACTTGGGAAAGTTTTCCAAGTGGAGAGTAAATGCTCAAAATATAACAAGTCAAATGCCCATTAAAAAATATAATTCAAAAAGCATGGATCTGGACCCAAGGGTAAAAATGACAAAACATAGAAAAATTAACCACTTGAGAAAGTGGGTGAGGCAAAAGAACATGGGGAAGTTGAAAGGTCTCATTTACCCAGGTAAATTTAACAAAAAAGAACATGGGTAAATACACTTTCCCGGGTAAATGTTTCCTGGAAAACACTTACCCGGGTAAGTGCACTTACCCAGGTAAATGGCCTCTTTCTAAACGAACTAGGCCTTAGTGGTGCTTTTCTTAAAATATAAGTTTATCTATTTATTTCCTTGTTAAATAGGAGAAAGGCATGAAGCAGAAGTTGCAAAATGAGATAGCAAAGGCTATTATTGAAAAAAATGGTGCTCCTCTTTCTATTTCTGAGCATGATGATCTTGTTGCAAATATAAAAACTGAAGCAGCAAAAGCTCATTCTGAGACACTAGAAGCAATGGAGATGGCATCCAAGAGTATGTGCTTGGTCATCATATAGTTCTTTTTCTTTCTCGTAATATATTTGTGGATAGTTTCTTTTTAATGCTTGATAATCAAATGTATTGTAAATTCTGAGCCTGACAGCCTGTTGCATTAAGGGCTGCCATGACATGAGGTCATGAGCTAACTTCTCTTGAGTTGGTCATTCATTGGTTCTTGTAGGGATCTTTGTTTCAGTTTGGAAAGCTAACTTGAAGTGAATTGATACTCTTTCTTTATAGGGAGCTCACTCCATTCAATGAGGTTGGTTCCTTCTTGGCCAACAAATTGAATTTGGGCTCTGTTGCTTTCCTCGTTCTTATCTGAGCCTGATGTCAATTTTGTGGTCCACAAACAAACCCCAAGCCTTTAAGCCTTGGTCATGTTGCTAGGGAGCCTTGAAGGGAATATCGTGGTTTTGGATTGGTTAGGGAGGTTATTCACAATTAAGTATTTTCCAGATGTTTTATTATATATTTGAACATAGCTAATTAGGGATGCAGAAGATGTATGATGGTATATGTGGTTTGCAAATGAACTGTATTGATTGATGAGTTTTTTTTTTTTTTGAGGGGGGAGGGTAATTGAAAATCTAAGCATTTGAAAAATGCTTTAAAGTATGTAGATTTTGAAGCAATCTCCATTAAAGTATACTATATGGATTAAATTTAGTAATGGGGATAAAATTCAGTTTAGATTTGGACCAAGAGTTTACTAAAAGCAACCGATTTTGCTATTTTAGGTCAATTACATGAAAGAGATAGAAGATGTTTCCAATAATATTAGACTATTAGAGTAAAAGGGTAGAGTGCATGTGTCTTAGGTGTGTATTGCAATCAACATGCGGTTCAAACTAAAAGGTTTTATAGGATGCTTGAAAATGAGGATTTTGAAAGCTAAGATGGACAAATGATTAAACAAGGCATTAAATAAAAATCTGTATATTAATGGAGCATGTTGGTGTTGTCAATTGAACTGAAAAATGCCTTCTCCCAGTTGTATAGCTGTATGAATCCTGTTTTGCCCTTCCACTTTATTCAGTGCCTTTGGGGTGTTATCAGGTGATGACAGAATAAGAGAAAGCAGAACTAGAGAGTATGGATATGTGAAGCAAGGACCATTGAATTTTCTAGTGAATGTGTAGTGTAACCCAAGTAAGCAGCAGGAACTTGTATAGTTGTGTTTCCTGTTTCCTTGCCTTACCAGAAGAAAAATATCTCTTAGTTTTTTGCATGGGACTACAGGGCATCCACATCGGAAAGGTTATGAAGATGTCTTTGTTCAAGGACAAGGAGCTAGCTGGCTTCTTTTTTGACTTAACATGTATTTGCACATAATACTGTATTTATTTTTTGTGTATAAGCATGTAAGTTCACATTGTTCTTTTGTTTCCTAATTTGCATTAGGGTATAGGGGATATGATGAATTCAGCTGTTGAATCAAGCCTAGTGGAACACTTGTTCTTTTTATTTTTTTTTAATGATAGGCACTGAGCCTCAAAATCTTTATGTCTTTCCAAGGGGTCTCTATGAAATTATTGATATGATGAACTGCAGCATGTTCAAAACTAAACAATTAAAAGACTTGATAAATCATGCACTTATACTCTTTGGAGTTGGTGAGTTTTTGCTCACCCAGAAGAACGAGGACAAACAACAGACTATATGCTGTTAACACTTAACAGATAAATGGTTGACCACAAATACTTCTCAGGCTAATATAGTTTCTTAGTCAGACAATAGGGTTAAGTGACTGAAACCGATAGCAGGAGGAATCCACTTGTACATGTCTGAGGCTTTGACTCTTGTGATAAAAAAAGATGGCATCATCATGTGCCTATATGGGAGTTGTGAAGATATTAGATACATGGCAATGGTATAGCCTTGGGATTTGTTTGGGCAGATCACAGATGATTACTTAGTAGTCTGACACATGGCTTGGCCTTTTATGGTTGTAAGCAAAAGAAAGTTCACCAATAAGAGGACAAAATGCACATTTGTTGAAGAGATTTTAAACATAAAAGAATGAAATTTCCAATGTTGAAATACAATAACAAGACTCATACCTCAAGAATCCCAGCCACTTAAGCTCAATGTTGACCACAAAAATTAGAGCCAAGTGCTTCTACATTAGTACTATTTCTGGATGAGCTAATGATCACCTGGCCTTGTGATAGCTCTTTACCAGGCCATGAGATTTGCAGTCTCAGTTTAGGTTTCTGTTGAGTCTAACTGATCAGGGACCAGGCATTGCAAAATCATGGTGACTTTTGTGTGATGCCACTTTTTGTCATATGATATAATAACTTTTATGATGCTCTTAGATGTCTTTCACTTGGTCTTGTTCTGATGCCTGAATACCTGTAAAAGAGTATTACATTGTGTTGGATACTTCAATTTCTAATGTAAATTCTTCATCTGACATATTGTCAGATGCATTGTTACCATACCTGGGTAATATAGGCTTTGATGAGAGTCTAATTGATGAATCAATTTTTGGTTATGTATCAATTTTTTGGCTAAGTATCTCGTCATTTGGTCTGCTTCCAAGTGGTCGGTGACTCAGGTCGAAGTGGAGAACTTTGGCTACTGAGCTAAGTCAAGTTGGGCAAGCTAGGTGGCGAGTTGACCAAGTGTCGAGTTGCCTGTGAGGTGCCTAGCTGAATTAATGAGCTTCGGGTCTCTTTAGAGACCTGTAAGGAACCAAATGTCAGAGGACCCGGGGTGGCTAATCCGGCGAGGTTGTTCCGATGCTTAAGTCAGTACTCTCATAGTAGACTACGAGCTAAAAATCACAAAGTCTGAGAACTTGAACTTGCCTACTTCCATTGGGGTTGGTGCCTTTATATAGGCATTGCTCACGTACTGCCCCCGAGATCTCTGTGAGGTTCGTGTCTAACTGGTCTGAGATTCTTGGAGGTAACCGCCATGCATGTTGACCACGTTCTAGATTGTTCGGCATGTGGGCCAACTTCCAAGGATCGTGGGAGTGTTTGGATATGCATGTTGAATTCCCCGGCGAGCACGTCTCGTGAGTCGCCAGGTTGGACACCATCAACTTGGCAAGTTGTTGTCTGAGTGGTTCCGGGTGTCACCTAGTTGTTCTGAGGTGCCATGTGTTGCAATGTCATTGGAGGGCCAAATCTGCCCTCATCACTAATGCTGTCAAAGGTTTAGATTCCTTCATTGCCAAAAAAACACCATTATCTGAAAATGAAAGAAAGGAAAAGAGAAAAGAACAGCAAGATGCCAAAATGAAAATTATATTGGAGCTTTCTTATACTACAGGCATGTTTATCTATGCTTTTGGCATTTCAAAATTGGTCATGATAGAATGGAATAGGGGTTGAGTCTATGATACCCTCATTCAACATTTTTTAGCCCATTTGTTTACTATTTATATGGAACAGGACAATTGCAAAAATGCCCCTTCATAGATAAGTAAAGAATTTAAGTAAGACAGTAAACAACTCAATACAAGAGGGCAAAAATAACATCTTAGCTTATATGCTAAATGATGATGAAGAGTTTCAACTTGTTATACCCTCTTATTTGATGGCATCAGTCACCAATTACTTTGAGTATTCAAATTAATAAAGATTAGATTGCCAATCCATTCCCTTCCCCTACCCCCATCCCTGCCCCCAATGGAAGATGATTAATCCTGATGAATGTGGCAAATTTCGAAGCCACCATGCTCATCTAACAGGAAGAATTTGGCCATGTAAAAATTGTTTAGATACTACTCTTATCCAAAATATTTTTGTATCATCTTTTCCTGTTGGTTGTTTTTAATTGTATCTCTATGGGCTTCATAAGTTCCAACAAAAGGTTCTCTGAAGAGCAATTTATTGAGTCTTCTATTTATAATATATTGACAGAGAAACAAAGATCAGACGCTGTCAGGACAGAGCCTACTCTTAGGGATGAAAATGGTCATGCATTTTGGAGATTAAGAAGCTATTCTGATGGGCCAAACTTTTTACTACAAGGTCTGTTTTAATTGCATTCTGCTAATGTTTTGAAGTAGTTCAGGGGATTGGATTGTCTTTGTTCTTTCTTTTTTTTGATAAATATTGTGTCTTTGTTCTTTCTATCTTTATTTATTTTATATGCAGATGTTGGAAGCTGGGATTCTTCTCCACCTCAAGAAAAGTGGTTTACTTTTGACGATGAACGGACAAAGATGATTGAGAATTATATTTCTTCTGTAAGGTAAATGCAATTATTAGTTTAGTTGTTAGTGTCAAATAAGTTGAGTTTATTGGCTTTTAAATTTCAGATACACTTGAGGTTTTCTGTTTGTTCTAGCTATAATCAGGAATAATGTTGTAAAAATTAGTTAATAATTAAATCTTCTGTGTAGAAGTGCATTGCACATATTCTTGTATTTATATGCTGTTAATGACAATTTATTTGGATGGTTATCTCATATTTGTGATCGATTACTCCCATATTTCCATGAAAATGAGCTGTATGGTTGTGCTGTAGTAGTATGGTAGCTCAGTCCTTGGTTCCCTTGTAAGGCTGTAACCAGTGTTTTAAAAGGCGTGCCTAGGTGCACAGGCGAGGCGCATTTTGGGGTATGCGCCTCACCTAGGTCCTTGGCATGCGCCTGATGTGCCTTAGCCCATGCGTGCACCTTTTTAAAATTTTGCACTTTTTGCTTTTATTGAGTCTAACGGCTGGGCCGGGGGCTCTGCCCCCGGATCCCTGACCACGCCCCTCAAGGCAAGTCCAAACAAGTCTATGTTAGGGTTTCCGGAGCTTCGAAAACCCCCTATTTGCTTATGTTCATTCATTCATTGCAATAAAATATCTTCTTAAAAGGCAATGAAAGTTATAAAATCATTATTTTTTATGTGAGAAATAAGAATTTCAAACCCTAACATAGTCTTGTTCGAGCTTGCCTCAAGGGGTGTGATACAAAGGCGCATAGAATCAAGACCGCAATATGTTTTACATCACATTAACTATTTGAAGCAATGCAATTAAGGAAAAAAAGAGATTGTGGGTTTTACATGCTTGAAAATGCTTTATTTGTTTGCTTTTATTTTTAAATTTTCATTTAAATATACTTTACATATTATGTTTATGTATTTTAATTTTAGATAATAGGTTTTTTAAATCATTTATTTTAAAATTTAAGTTTATATTTTTATTAACATTATGTTTAATATTTTTTAAAATTATTGCATTTAAAAAAAATTGGCATTTTTTGGAATTTTTTGACTTGTTTTTTGACTTTTTACCTTTTTTTTTTGTAATTTTGCGCCTTTCTTAAAAAGGCGTGCAACTCACCTTGTGCCTCGGGTGCAAATTGGCCCTTGAGCTTTTAAAACACTGGCTGTAACTAACATTTAAAAAAAAATTTTTTTGGGGGGGACTCCCCACCTTATGACGTTGCTCTGCCACTGTTGTCTACTTTCGTTTTGACTTGTTTTTCCCCTTGAAATTTTTGTTCAATGATATTATGTTATGGGTTTTGTGTAAATCCTATGATAAGGTGTACATTAAGTCTTCAACTTGACAAGTTTGCAAGGACCCTTCATGATCCAATAATGGTTTATGCTAGGGTCAAGTTAGTGTTTATGATGCCAAAACTACTTTCTTGAAGAGGTGCGAGGTAACTTGTTTGCGATGTATTTTCTATTCCAAGTTTTCTCACCTACTGCTGTTAGCAAAACTCATGCATTATGATGACCTTTCAAATTTCCACTAGCAAACAATAAATTGTAGTATATTTTTCATTGTATTTATTCTTATACATCATTCAGTTATTGTGGATAACATTGATTCCTTCTATGTTAAAAAGGCAACAGGAAGGCTGAGTACTTTTTCCTTTTCTTTTTTGCCAATTTTTGGAATGTAGAAGGAAAAGGCTCAGGATGAGGAAGGTTCCTGATGTATTTCCAAGTGGCAGTGATGAAGCTAAGCCAAAGCATGACAGTTCAGATGATTTGCCATCTCTTGTGATTGCAGGTACTGCATAGTCATTTCCTTCACAATGTGGCTATTTAACAGTACTTATTCAGTCCTTATATTTTAAGTAATTCACGTGTATTACTTGCCTATTTGAAGTTTTGAACATCACCAGGAAGTAAAAGCTATTTATATTCAAAACATAGGTGTGGCTGATAGAGGCCAAAACGAGGAGAATATAGGTTTAACAGCAGTATGGGTGATAGTTGTGCTACCAGTATGAAGGACAATAGAATTGTAGAAGGCAATTTTTTTTGAGTGCATAGTTATTTTCACTGATATTGTGGAATTAATTCCTTGTGGTCAAGTATTCGGTCACAGAGAAAAGGTGGTTGTCATATACTGTTGACCTGGGGGGTTGATATTATGATTTTAGAATCTAATTATTGGTTTAATGTGTATCTGACACTCAAAAGTAACATTACTACGTGTTGTTTTGGAGCAGACAGTGAAGAAGAGGGATAGGGGACTAAGCTACTGCTATGCTTCAACTGTTGCACTAGTGCTAACAGCTTGCCCTACACCAAATGGGCCTCCAGATTTTGCGGATACAAATCTCCAAATGTATATATGGATGTTGGAACCTGCTGCTAAGCTGTGTACAAGTCATATCACATTGTTATCCTGCACATTTTATGTGTTTTCACTATTTTGAGCTTCATTCAAAACATTGGCCTAATTGAATCACATTCTGTTTTTGGTAGATCCAGATTCCATATTAAATGCAGACGGAATTTTCTACCAGTTTCATCTTATTATATAAATTAAAATCTTCCAAATGGAAAACTCACTGCTGATTTATATTAACTTAAGGAAATGATAAGCGTTGGGTTTGCATCTGAACCCAAAATGCACTTTCAAAAGCCAAGCTATGAAGGATTGTTCGAGCCGAGAGAACGAGTTTGGTGAGATCGAGTAATTTGCCACCCAGGCAGAGAGATTCTTCCACTCAAGCTTTTAACATGTTTGATTGTAGTTACAGTCAACTGCAATGAACTTCAGGATTAAAAGTAGCTGTATTTGGATAAGCATCAGGCCTCAGGGTTTGTGCTTTCAAAGCCCTAAAACAGACCTACAATTTAAAATTTTGGGGCTAAAAGCATTTTTGTCTCTAGTTCGTGTTTTTAAAAGCAACTCTTACCAAACGCTCAAAACACTTATCTGGTTCATTTTTGTTTTCAAAAACAAAAGTTTATGATTGCCATTACACATGGAGGGCTTAACAAGAATGATATGGATTCTCTTTATTCTTCAGACCAACCTAACTCCACCAAGCTGTTGATGGAAAATTCATTTGGATACAAAGTATACGACGTTGGAGGAGGGTGAGGAATCTAATTAGGAAGGTGTGGAAATTGCATGTTCCCTTCCCCCCTAGGTTCAAGTTGTTCTTGTGGAGAATTTGCAGGAACTTTGTCTTAGTTAAACAGGATTTGATTCTTAGGGGGTATTGAGATTGATGACTTGTGTCCTTTGTTGTCAACAAGAACCTGAATCAACTATACATTTGTTTTGCTTTTGTTCCTTTTAATGATATTCTTTTTAACAATGTTAAGCACTCAGTTAATTGGGTTAGGGAGGCCTTAAATAATGATGCTAAATTCGTTCAGTGTGATGGTGGAGTTGATACTTGTAGTAACAGGTACATTTGGATTTGGTTGGGTGTTTTTACAATGCTGATCAGAAGTTTTGCAGAGCAGCATTGGTTGTGATTTCTGATATGCGACATGTTATTAATACTAGATTTGTGTATATATCTAGCCTCTAGCCTCAAATTTGTTGGCTCAATACTCAAGAGGCTACATATTTTCCAGACATGGTAGTATGTATGGTATTGTGGGATTATCCTCCTGTCCTGTGTGTGTATTGAACAATTTGTATGTTGACTTTTATAAATTATATTATAGTTGGGGTGGGGGTGGCTATCACGGGCCCTCATATTGGGCTGGGCCTAATGCTGTCTTCAGGTCCAACTCTTAGGTTAGGCCTGGACCAGGTTGGTCCAAGGTCCAAATGAACTTGCACAGGTTACATTACATATGCGATATGTCTAATAATTGTGTTTGTGAAATTCGTTCCTAAGGTCCCCCCAACCTTGAACCCAACCCAGCCCACCAATAGACTCCCCCATTTCTTGGTCAGGTTGGTCCCTGTTCAATACCATGTTCCCACGCTGGGCCTGAGCAAAACCCAACAGAAACCCAGTTGCTTTGGCCATTGCCCCATTGGCCGCCCTCCCTTAGCTCCAGGAATTTGGCCATGTACCAGCTACGAAAGCAGCAGTGAAAACTGGAAACTCCCATGCAACCAAATTTCCTATCAGATTGCAATCACAAAAGGTGAAATGGCTAATCAGATGTCCTCTCTCTCTCTCTCTGAGTGGCACAAGTTCTTGTCTTATGTGGTGATTGACACATGACACCACCTAGACCTCTAGCTACACAATCGGACTATCTCACTCAGTGCAGTGATGGGTACATGAATATCAATCAGACTACAAGGCAGGGCTGTGGGAAGACGGTTCTCTCCACTTGGGGCCTGCCAGCACTAGTAAAGACTCTCAATTTAAGGCACCCAACCAAATAAACAGTGGCCCTGGGAACCGCCCAACTGGGCCAGTATTTTTTCCAATGTAGGTGGTGGTGCTGTCTGTCATCTCTTGCAGGGACGACCCCTCCACTCCCAGTCCCAGCTACCTCCCTATGGTCTATGGAATGAATGGATGTGAGAGTTTGTGCAAATTGCACAACACAAAGGAGGCATCGCATCACAGCATCAGTATTGAATAGGACCTGCTGATGAGGTGAATGTTGTCCGACCCAACAACAGCAACAGGACCACCTGGTAAAATATGTTGGAAGGGAAATGACCATGTTATGTAAAGGAGGAGGAGGAGGAGAAGGAAGAAGAAGAGCTAAGTGAAAGTACCTGTACCACGTGATGCTGTATTAGTGGTAGGTGTTATGACTTGTGTATGTCTAACAGCTGCAGCTTCACATCACTGATGTGATTCTGTGTGTAGGACCCTTCACATCAGCTTTGTACACCACTGAATCCTCACCGTGGATTGGTCCCCCCATGTGCCAGCTTCCTTTCCTTTCTTTATTTTTAGAATTCCAATCAGGCATGCTGCATGCATGCTTGGTCGTACTTGTAGACAAAACGAAGTTGGGACTTGGAATATCAGTACACATCATGGCTGAGGTGGCTGACCAAAAGGTGTCCACATGTTTCACCAGTCTAAGATGAGACCAGCTTTTAGTTTTGGATTTTACACTTGAGCCACGTGGCAAAAAAAAGCCATTTTTGTAAGCCTATGGCTTGGATTTTTTCCCTTGTTCTTTCCCACCCGTCACATTTATCTAATGCTCTTTTGAAATTTCATATTTACACCTTGCGGTGCATTACCATGCCGGTGTTGAAAAGATGTGGGAGTGGGAGTGATTACATTCTTCTTGGCAACTTGGAGAGTCATGACATTCACTTTTCTAATACAAGGAAATTGAATTGGTTTGGTTGTAGCAGATGGATGTATTAGGTTTATATTTATAATGTTTTTCTTTTTCTTTCCTATTTTACAACTTTTTTGTTTCCCTTGCACATTTTATCTTCTAATTATTATTCTAAAATATTTCAGCACTTTATGAAAATGATGAAAAGTTGGTCTAGTATGACTTTGATTCACACACCGGGTCAGCCTGGTTAATGTACTTTTATAACCCCACTGTTAAATATATAATATGGAATTAGTATAAGGAATGTTGTTGACCCGGCCGGTTGAACTGCTCATCAAATTATCATTCAGTCAAGATTTTAAGTTCGGTTTGAGTAAAACTCAGAGAAAGGTTAAAAATTGTTTGAATCAGACGGTTGGATCGTTGAGTAATTTTTCAAGACATATGTGTCCATAAGTGTGACTTGTCCTATTATTTTCGTCAAAAAACTCATTTTTTAGTCTCAAATTACAATTTTTAATATTTTTTATAAATAAAAAAATTAAAATTGAATTAAAAAACATAAATTAAATATAAAATAATACATATATTATATGTAGAATATAATTTTACATTATTTATTCATAAAATACATGTTTATGTATATCTTTAAATTTCTATATGGCTGATGTGGCACGGTCTGACCTGTTCAACCCGAACGGTCGAACTAGTGACCCACGACTTAGAGGCAAAAATGGTTCAACCTCTGGGTCAGTTTTCAAAACATTGGGTTTAAGGCCTATTCGTCTTTTGAATTTTGAGACGGGGGAAAGTTGGGTAATGGGATTTTGGTTCCCATTGACCAAGATACCCATGTTCTCTTTTCAGATTTATGTGGGGTCCATGAAAAACTTTTTTCCCTAGGTAAGTGATACCCATCTCCCAGGTGAATAAATAATTTTTCCACTTGGAGAAAAAGTTGCTAACACTTGGACATGACAAAATTGACCATTTTAAAATGAAATTTTCTGGCTAAAGTGATCATTATCTTATTTACTTGGGAAATAAAAGAACATGGATAAATGCACTTTCCCGAGTAAATAACTTCCCAAAAGCAAACATGGCATAAGAACAATACTGAGCTGGTTCTTAGCGGTATCATTTCTGGCAGTTGGTCCGTAACATCTAAACCTTCAAAATATGCATGGGAGTTCACAAACACCACAAAGTAGGGGTGAGCATTTGCTTTATTAGGTTAAAAAAATTTCTATTTGGTCTAAAGCTATTTTGGTTAAAACTGAATTTTCAATTATGAAAATGGAAAACTGATTACTAAAATACTCAAAAAAAAACCAAATCGAAATTTCCTAAAACCAAATTAACCAAATCGAAAAACTGAAACTGAAAAATTTTATTTGTTTTTTTTTTTGGGTTTAACTTTTAACCGAATAATGTTCATCCCTACCACAAAACCTTACTCCTTAGGCATGTTAAATGGTTAAGGGGCTATTTGCAAGTTATGTAATATTGTCAATTTTGGATCGAATTAGACTTAATTTTGGGTCATTTAATAGAATGCCTCCTATAGTTTTTATTTTACTAAAATACCTTTGCAATCTATTCACTTAATCGACCTTTATTTTTTTTAATAAACAACCTGGGGGATCTCCCCAACCCTCAATGCTCATGATTCATGGAGGTGGGATTTGATAACAAGTCCCTACTAGGACAAGACAAAGATCACTTTGAAATTGGGACTGATCAAAATTTGGTCTAATTATAAACATTTTATTGGATTGATTTCGATGTTAGAAGTGACTGAATATTTCAATGATGCATACAAATTAAAGGGGTGACATGTTTGCATCCACTGAAGGTGACATGATGATAGTGTTAGCAATAGAACAAAGGGTGACTTCACTTGACAGTGCAATGTCTAAGGTGACATATGATAGTGATTACTGTAAAACATGGAATATGAGCCCCTGCAAGGTGAAGTGGCTGAAAATATGGATACTATTTTGCAGAGCAGGAGCAGCCCTAATAAAATTTTCTATGAACAACCAAAACTCTTGTTGAAAAATGATCCTAGATGCCTGCTTGTGAATGTTTAAAATTAAAAAAAGAGTTCTATCACAAATTTAGATATATCTATCTAATGCCAATTTTGGGTAGGAACAGAACAACACTAACACTTGAAGGAACCACTGAATATGAATATGCAAGTTGGGCATCTCTCTCTCTGCTCTAAGACCAAAGTCAAATTACACAAATTGAAATGGTTTGAACAAAGTAGCTTATGGTCCAAGTTACGGTCCTGGAATACAGGTAAGATGAGCAGTGATTAGTCGTTAGAAGGTAGAACCCATTTTGGAAGTAAAGTGTGTCGTACGAACCCTCACACACCCACAGACACTTTCTTTAGCAAATTGTGCACTCATCATCTGCATGGATCAATGATGACTCCATTTTTCTTTTCCTTTTCCCCCTCTCAGTCTCTTTTACCACGGAACTGTTTTTGGGGTAAACGACCAGTGAAACTTTTCAATATAACAGCTTTAATTTGGAGCTTATATTCAGAAACCAGAACTTTAAATGACACTTCTGAGCTTTGGAGAGAGACAGAGAGAGAGAGAGTTTTGGTTTGTTTGCACGTGAACCTAAGCTGTCAGCCTTTGCATCAAAGCAAGAATAAAACATTACAACGCTTAACCAAACAGAAACAAGGATACCACCCTACTCTGCCCTTGCTTGATTGCCCTTAATTTCTCTATAACTCACTCACTCACTCCTCCTCCCTTGGCAATTTCGCATATCCCTGCCAAAAAGAGAGGGGGAATCTCTCCAATCTTTTCTTCTCTTCCCCCAACTCCTTTCCATCTTTAACTCCTTACTTTTTAGATATATTCCTCCTTCCAAACAAAACCTGCCATCTCGGCCTGATTTGCTTTCCTCTCTGCCTTTTTCCCATCCACAAGCTCGTCCACGATAAGCACCCACTTTGCCTGCACTTGTACATCTGCTCCTCTGTCCTTGTCTCTGCTTCCTCTCTTGTTTCCTCCTCTTTCTCTTTCTCTTTCTTCTCCCTCCCTTCTTCAATCTGCACCATTCTTACCCATGTTAGTGTCAGAGATGTAATATGATGCCTTTTTTTTTTTTTTTCTTACATAGAATTCAATTACTTGTGCTTACTCATGCATATATATGTGGAAAGTTCAATGAGAGTATTAGCATGGTTGGGCTGCTCCTATTCATGAAAACAATAAAATACAACCAAAACCCTAAATGGGTTTTATTTTATTTACCCCCTTCCCCCAAACATTGGACCCACATGGTATCTGGGTCTTTGTTTTGGCTTGGTTGACAACTGAAAATTACAACTGTTCCTTTGACATCTTTTGTCCAATGGACCCACACTATATCTACCACTCCCGGTGAACAATCACTTAGCTGTCTTTTGGAAGGGACCTGGTTGGTACATCCGCTCTTGAATACTCAAGTGTCAGGATATTCCTTTGGTGGGCCTTGGCCCAAGCAACGCCAACAGGGGATTCTGATTCTTTGATCTAAAGGTAACATCTAGAAACTGAAAGGTAATGTCGAACATACTAGTAAAAACCCATGTGAAAGATGGTCCATTTTGTCAAAACAATCAGGATTGTTGATGGGTGGGTACTACGTGATGGGCCTGATGGTCCATCCATGGAGTAATATCTAGACTTATTGCTGATTTTGTAATGTAAATGTGCCATGTGTTTGGCCTAGATCCCATTAGATGGCTGGGGCCCAGGTGTCCAAATGGCAGCATTTAATTGGGTGTTTTTGAAATTTGTCCAAATTGCAGCAATGGTGATAGTGACCAATCCAGGTTCCAACCCAACATTCGAAATTTATCCAAATTGATCATCATAAAATTTTGAGGATCTGGTGGAGAGGCTCCTGATTGGAGAATCAAGATTGCCCAAAATATAGTGGGCTTTGGTTTTGGGATGGGTGGTCCACACTGATGAGCTTTTTTGCCATTAATGGGGTCCATATATTTGCAATAGGGAAGTTACTAAAGAACAATGAGGATGATCTCTATTCTCTGGGCTAGAGTATCTTCCAATTGGATGATGGTCCACATGGATGAGCATGTGAACATGCTTGTACCAGAACCAGAGACCCTTAACTGATCTATGAGTACTTAACCTGCAGTTTGATGCCCTCCCTCCAAGGAAAAAAAGGACAAAAAAGAAATATTATGATTTTTCTTTCTTTCACTCTTCATTGAATAAACTTCTGATTGAGTTAAAATCTTTGAAAGATCATCAATGAGTTTGGCTTCAGAAAAGAAAGATTATCAACCCCAGTTTACTAAGATACAAATTTAGTATTCATCGTAAACCGATGAACAAAGACAACTTCATGCCATGCGTGTAGTTTTCATGGACATACCTCTTCCTCAGGTTTCAGTTTTGTACCGCAGTTGTTGGGTGACTCTCCACCTTCAACTTCACAACGCTTTAATGATCTCTCTTTGATTGGAGGGGTTGAAGCCGGGCTTGGACTGCTTGAGCTAAGATCAGGTGGTGTACTTTGAATGCCCACATCCCTAGTTGAATACTCAACTTTCTTCTCTGCAATCCCAAGAACAAGAAAATTATTAAGTTTATTAATTCAAGCAACTCGCTCACAGCAATTAATGCATGCAACTGCAAACGAGAAAAAAATGAGAATAAGCTAGCGGTTTGGACCTTGAATTGCAGGTTCAATATGGTCATCCTCTGCTATGGTAGGCTTTGTTTGGATATGGCGTGCATGAGAGTAAACAAGAGGTCCTGACATTGTAGCTCTGCTTGTTAAAGTTGGGATAGACCTTCCACTGAGTGTTTTTGCAGACAAACACTCCATTGGGACTTCTCCTGAAAGTGGGTTGCAGATATACTTCTCTGCATCATTCCATTTGGAGTTCAAAGCAAACCCATCTGGTGATAAACATTCCCAACTGTAACCCGATCTCATCTGCAAAGCTGCATGAAGAAGAAGAAGAGCCACCGGGTTCATCGACGGCAAAAGCGATTAATTTAGACCAATCGATCGTCACCTTCACCGTTGAAGTTTAATCTTACCTTTGAGAGCAGTGGTGAACGAGTAAGTAGCTGGGTCAATCTCATCTGTGGAGAAATGACGATAGAAATTGAGAGAAGGAAGCGTTTGATCAAATGCTATATATATATATATATATATATATATATATATATATATATGGAATCAAGCTAAGTTAAACAAGCAATTAATAATACCTCTTAAAGTGTAACCAGGAGAAGAAGCAGTGCTAGAGATGGTCGCGTTTGATCTGAATGACCTTGCTTCCTCTCTGAAGCTTCTGATATTCGAAGCAGAAAACCTTCTTGAATTGGTGTTCTCTCTGCTGACACGAGCCTTGTGAGCCCATTCTCTTAAATTGAAGTCAGCTGCTGGTTCATCTCTCCGCCGGTAGTTCAGAGAAGCTTGCTCCACGGTAGTGGTCATGGGGGTGTTCTACAATTGTAGCAGAAGGCCTAGTTCTCTGTCTCTTCTTCTTCTTCTTCTTGCTATTCTTCTCCACCTTAGTACACTGTTATGGATATATGGACCTGAGGTCAATCATTATCAATAGACTGTATACACTACTAGCTAGGCCAATTTGACATGGCTAGGCATGGCCCGCCAACTCATGCATAAATGAAAGCCGTTGGATTTGTGGGTAAGCAACTTGCATGGGCACTTGATGCACATGATCATGAACATGCCTCATTACAATGCAAAACAATTCTACTATTACATTGAGGGCCCACATGAATTTGAACGGTCCCGATCAATGGATTGAAGGGCCACGTGTATCAGAACAAATTAATGTGTGTTGTGTTGTATGTGGTAGGATTCTCATTGAGATAGAAGTTATATGGGTTTCATCAAGTTGATGAAGTTGATGTCTCTGTTGGGTTGTTTTCAATGTGGGTTGGATAGGGGATTAGAGTGGATCGACTGGGGGGGGGAGAAGGTATGGTTCCTGTGCATGTCATGTGGTTGTCATCATCATGTGAAAATGAGTGCAAGGGACCGACCTTCCACATAATGGAAGTGGTGGGGTCCAGTTTAGGTTCATCTTGGCCGTAAGATTTTGTCTTGGTGTGTGTGAAAAATGTAGGTTTCACGGAAGGGAGAAGTCAGTCTTGGGGTTGGCTACTTTCTGGCTTCATTTAATCGGTAAAGTTTTCTTTTCTTCTTCTTATTTTTCTCCTTCTCTCCTCCTCTTCCTCTCCCTCTCCCAACTTACTTACTTTTAGATATTTATCTCTTCCCTTTTACGTCAGTTGTCCTATTGTTGTTATCTTTGTTCGATGGAGTTGGTTCGTTCTCATTCATATAAAAGTTAGCTTGTAAACTCAAATGGAATTTAATTTGGTGTTTTTTTTTTGGGTAGTATAAAACGAAATTATTCAAAATTTTATTAATTATATACATATTTTTCAAAAATATAATAAGGGGTCATTGATGGGCATTGTTTGTTAAATTGAAGGGTTTAAGAGATAAACTAAAAATGTTAAATAAAAATAATAAAAAATGATTTAAACACTCATAATTTAATAATAAATATGAGATTAAAACAGGATTCACATAATCGATCCTATATAACTTAAACATACATGGCTTAGATGATGATTATAATGATATTTGGCTGCCGCGACAACATATATAAAATACCATCACCATTACCTTTATTTTCTTATTTTCCTTTTCTTGTTGATAGAATGAATGACAAAGCATGGTTTGTGTGGGTAAGACTTTATTGAATTGCATTATACCCAATGTTGTATTAAAGCTCAAAAGAATATATATTCTCATAAAATTTGTATTAACTTAGTCATCATCATGAATGAAAGAAATGTAAAACAAATATGACTTTTTATTAAATACTTTTGTCTCAGATAAACTTTTGTGACTTGTGATCTGATATCATTCTTTCATCCCAAATAAGGCTGTAAGGAAATTATAGCAGTAACTAATGGAAGGATACAGAAGAAAACATAATATAGCCCAGTGTATTAATACACACAGAAATAGAATTTCTCAGAGAGAGAGAGAGAGATGAGGCCAGCTGAGCCCAAGATATATAAAAGATAGAGAGTAGCCCATTGGTTGAACCGGTGGGCATGCAGATGATACACATCATCAAGCCATCAATAAGCCTGTGACAGATGATGACGCATGAAGTCAAGTGAAACCTACTACTTATATTATTTACTCTTGACTGTAGTGAAACGTCTTTTCACTATCAGATCAGCCTCTGATGATGTTCTCATTGGAGGCCCTACACAGAAGTATTCTCATGACTAGACTACATTGATAATTTGGTTCTAGTATATATATCTCAGCTTAACTCTCTTGTCTACACTACCCAAGATTGATTATTGAAGCAGATCTTCTTCGCTATTGCTTGATCGGACTCCTGATTCATTCATTTGGGGAGTGTTTGTGTGTGCTGTGTTGTTCACTCTCATACGACATCTGCCCCAGAATTCCAATCTTCCTAGCTTTCAGAAAGAACACGTGCGCCAACCCACATTTATTGAAGAATCAAGAAGCTCTGGAGTTTTGATAAGATTGTCTTTCATCAGCCTTCAATAATCAATAGAGGGGGTGGGGGGTGATTGATGAAGAGATGCATTAATGGTGACGATGGGGCTTGATGGAAGACAGTAGCAATACTCGGTACATACGATGTGAATGGATCGAACCAAGACCCAGATGCCATTTGATTAAGTGGGCCCGGGTTTTGGATGATATATTTGACTGGTTGTGCTACTAGGAACAATTCTTGTGTGGTTTCAGAAGGGATTGGACCAGGATCCAGATGTCTTCTGATCACAGTGGTCCGAATTTTGGCGGACATATTGACCAATTATGCTTCCAATCGCTTCCTCAATAAGAATTATAGCTAGAGAGGTTATGTTGATCCAACTCATCAAGGCTTCCAGTTGTCGAGGACCGGTGGTCCCCTAAATCTGACGTGTAAAATTCTTGGGTGGTTTCTGATTCTTTTATCTACGACTCTACCAATTTTGTTTCATTTACAAGAAACTTATGGTTAGTGTGTAAATTTTCAAAAATATTTAAACTGCCTTTCGTTGCAGTGCAATTTTATTTGCACTAAATACAAATGCATGCATGAGAGTGCAAATGAAAGGAATGCAAATTCTGATTTATTTTTTGTTTGGGTTTTACTTTATTCTACTCTATTTGTACTGTAATCAAACAAAGTGAGATAAATTTTTAAACAAAAATAAATCAGAATATGCATCCAAATCATTTGCACTACCATAATTTTGCATCCATGCAAATAATTTACAGTTTTGCACTGCAACTGAAAACAGCTTTAAAGCAAAAGATAATGGGACCTTCCATGTGAATGTCAAGTCATCATCCGGAGGTTTCCCTCCAACCAGTACAGAAAAATGCATTCCATCACATTAATGGCTTTGACTTTGAAGATGGTATTGTTCTAATCAAATTCATCAAAATCATGGAGCCATGTTAATAGGAATTTAGGTGGGTGAGTATGTATCATTCCAATAATAGTTATCTTTAATTGAAGGATTTCAACTAAAGGTAAGGCATCTTGATTAGACGTTTGAGATCAATGATTTGGTAAAATGATATAGTAATTAATGCTAGAAAAACTCCATGGGCACGCCCATGTTATTTTTACATTGTTGTATAATATTTTATCTCAAAGTTTAACTTATTTATTCAATTAATTATTAATAATATATATGGTATGATACTTAGATTTAACTTCTACGATTTATACCTAAATTAAGGTAAATATCTGCTTTATATAATATTATTGAGAGCATATGTTATACATGTATGCAAGTAGTATATAGTATTTGGATTTAATTTTTAGGCTATGTTCGTTTTTGGTAACTCATTTATCTAGATAAGTGCATTTATCCATGTTCTTTTATTTCCCAGGTAARTAAACCAATAACCATGTTAGCCATAAAAATCCATTATTAAAGGGACATTTTTGTCTCATCCAAGTGTTGACAGTTTTCCCCTAGGTGGGAAAGTTATTTACCCAGGTAAATGATACCCATG